CGTGACCTATAACTGAACTGTCTTTTGGCTGTGAATCTTTTGTCTTGCTCTTTTGCACACCAAAGACAGCAATCTGCATTTACATTCTAATGAAGGCAGCCTCCACTGCTCTACCAGATTCAGTATTCCACAGGTTCAATCTTTTCACTGAGAATGAGCTCAAAGCTTAATGTATTGCTGCAGTGAACTGCGACTGCAAATAAAAGCAACGCTGAGGCTTGGTGGTGTTTCCTTTTCCTTCCCCCCTCCCTTGATGGGGGATCCTTTTTCTTGCTCTGCTTTCTAGAAAGAGAGGCCTGCTATGTTTTGTTTTTCCTTGGGTAATGAGCAACAGCATTTCTGTCCAACATAAATCTTTCGGCAGGGCAAAAGACCTGCAGCCCCAATTACCAAGGAGGACAAGCAGTCTCCCAAGAGAGGCAGTTTTAATTCCTAGGGACTCTATTTTTAGTTATAGCACCGGAAGTCCCTGAAGCAACAATATCCTTTGACCTGTCATTTATGGCAGGGGAGGGAGCAGGGACACAGCTGGTCTACAGGTCTGAGTGTCCAACTACCATCCTATATTAAAAGAGCTCACGCCGTACAGAGCAGGCAGACATCAGAGAACAGTTAAATTCCTTTTTCCTCCTCTTCCTAAAGAATGGCTGAAAAGGGAAAGAAGAAGGGCGAACACGGTTGCTAACAGCCCCAACAGACACCAACTGCTGAGATGAACCAGATTTCTGACAGGCATGCCGGTCTGAATCTATAAGGAAATTCATTTAAAGTTTCTTCAAACTAAACTAAGGTTATAATTTTTTTTCCACTAACATAATCATCAGCTCTATTGCACACATAAAATTTGGGTAGATTGCAAGCAATTCTGTTGTTTCATTTGAGGAGGAGTAGAATCCATCTTTTACAGTCATGCTGTAACAGAGAAGACTGACACTAAAGGAAGTGTACATAACAATGTACGTAACAGAAGCAAAGCAATAAGTTATTTTTAAATAGTTACTATTTAGGGGAGAATTGCCATTAGCATTTTGAGTACTAAATCAAATCCCTTGCAAGGATTCTACCACAGAAAACTGTAAAACAACAGCTTAGGCTTTGATTCACAATTCACTTCTTTTTCTGTTCATGAGAATTAAACATCTCCTACACAGACAACCAATTACAAATTAAGTCCTCGATTTATGCCCTCCTAATCCACAACTTAAAAGCAATTCTCAAATTCTGGCAATAGCTTGAAGAAAAGTAAGAAATGAAGTTATTAATAAAAAAAGCACTTTAGGAGATAGCATGGTAGAAGAAAGGGAATTACAGAAGCAGAGTGATCTGAATTCTGAACAAAGCGGGAAACACCACACAAGAGCCTCATTTTCAATACAAGTGATCTACAACAAAAGCAGCTGACAACTTCTCAATAATTCCACACAACTTTTTTTTTTAATCGCCCCAAACACTTAACCTTTACACTTCACAATGTAGTGACTTTAACTTATGAAAGGAAATCACTGATTTTTGTCCCATTCTCTTCAGTTTGACATTGTAATACAGTTGCTGGTTTTCAAGGTGAGAGTATGCATATTACCTAGACTATGGCACCTCCGTACAATTCTTGACATTACTATGCCACGTTCAGGTGGCAAACATCAACCCTTCACTACCACCACCCAGCAAAGCTAGATCTTATAAGCAACACACAACTGCAAGGAGAACCTGAATATGGAAACACACAACTAGGGAGAAACGTATCTTTCTGTGCCAAGGGCTGGTCTCACAACATACCGAATAACACTCCCCCTGCCAGTATTCTGACAAGTACCACAGTTTGAGAACCATTAATGAACCAGGACCAAAGCTGTTAATGGCATACGGATCTTTTTCTACAGAACTAGTTTGTTAATAGTGTAAAAACATTAATGGGCAACAAAAAAAAGTTGCTTCATAGTTATGGAGACGCTACAGTCTTAGCCTCCACAAAGTCAGTACGTAACCGTACCTCCTTAACATAATAGCAGGGATACTGTTACTAGCACCAGAGACAGTCAAGATACTCAGCAGCCTGGAGAACTATGCAAATGTATGTAAAAATGTACCATCAAGTAACTTTGTGAAGGATTCTGATCTTAAACAATTCTGAGCCATAACACAAGTGACAGTTTTAAGAAATAAGCCTTCCTAACAAACCCAGATTAAGGCTCAATAAATAAGTTACCACAGTATCACGTATCAATAAGAACTAGAACCATGCCTATCCTGCATAACATGCTGCTTCTAATCTTTAGAAAGTTCAACGTTGTGTCACCCACAAGAACACCTGAAAAAATAAAATAAGAAAATACAGCCCTATACATCACGGCCTTCCATCCCCATTTAATCTCTTAGTAACCACGCCAATACATTCTACAGAAGAAAAACGCCCCGGTGCTGCCTACACGAGTATCTCTGCCCCGAAGAGTAGGAACCGTTCAGGCTCGAAAAACAAGGAGGGGTGAAAAAGAGCCAGGGGAGCCCCCCGCACCCAGGGCCTGAACCAAG